AATGCTCGCCTCTTATGACACGACAAACCCCATGCTGGCACCAATGAAGAAGCCACTCGCAGATCTGAATATCACCAACCCGTTGGCAAGTGTCGTCCACCAAGCCGACAGAAATGGCAAGCAGCAGCCGATTCTCACTGGTGTTCGCCGCGTATCCCGCGAAGGATCGATTGGGAAGAAGACCCAGCAGCGAGGTAGCCTCCGTAACATCTTCGGAAATATCTGGTCAGCATTAGGTCTCCACGAGCAACAGCAGGAAGATCTTGAAAAGGCCAAGCAAGGCGGATCCAATCCTAAGACTGCAGAGGTTAGAAGCAAAACGATTGAACTGCGCCCAAGCCTCTTGCCTCCTGTATCTCCCAATGATGCTGACAAAAAATGCCTGGTGCTGGATTTGGATGAAACCCTGGTTCACTCTTCGTTCAGACGCACAGACAACTATGACTTCATCATTCCTGTCGACATTAATGGAATCATTCACCACGTTTACGTGTGCAAGCGACCCGGTGCTGAGGAGTTTCTCATCGAAATGGCCAAGTACTACGAGATCGTCGTGTATACGGCCAGCCTCAGCGTGTACGCCGATCCACTGCTTAATAAGCTGGACCCGGAAGGCGTTATTCGCTACCGTCTCTATCGCGAGCACTGCGTCCAATACGAGGGCAACTACGTGAAGGATCTATCCTTGCTTGATCGCGACATCTCGCAGACGATCATCGTTGACAACTCGCCGATGGCTTACGCCTTTCACCCTCGGAACGCCATCGGCTGCTCGAGTTTCTATGACGATCCGAACGACCGTGAGCTTGAATCGATTGCGCGTTTCCTGTCCAAGTTCCAGGACGTGGAGGATGTGCGAAACCACATGCAAATGTGGGATGCCAACTACTAACTCACGTGAACATAACGATGAATTTCTGCATTGCTACAATTGTTTTATTACTTCGAAATCCTGATGATTAATAGTAAAACCGTTTAGTTGTTTCAGGGTGACCGGACCGTAGCCTTAGATAATAGACAGAGTTTGACTTCCTGCCGTGCTCACGCTTATATTTGTTGTCGTCTACCGCCATCAATGTAGATCCGTTTGGGATTAGAAAATTCTGCTTGGCAGAATCAAAAGAGGAACATGCGAGAACTTGATCTTATCAACGCCACGTCATGGCCACAAACCAGTGTTGAATACGGTGGATCAGAATGATCTCCGTCGTTCGAGTGAGCGCTGCAGTTTGCGCGTTGGGGTCGCAGTGAACTTCAGACAACTAAAAAGGGTTTTTCTCTAAAGCATCAACGTCGCTTTTTTTTGTGGTAAATGTACCGTCTTCACGAGCTTGCAACGGAGCCAAAACACATCACTCATCTGCCTCGAAGAGAAACTTGTGGAGCTGACGAGGAAGTTGCTCTTGGCAACGACATGTTACGCGTATATCGCTAGGACACGATGTTGCAAGCCGCAGGAGCATCTCTAGAAACTCGGTTGCAACGCGCGCGCACATTTCCGTTGGCAGAACACGCGTGATCGTGGTACCAGGCTGCCAAATGCGAGCACGGAAGCACTTTGCGACTTCATTACAGAATTCGCAACTTTTACCGACATGCGAACTATTGGAGCAGTTATACAGGTCGTCACGAAGCTTCGCAAATTCGTCTAAGGTCTTCTCGACGATTAAATCGGGGTCATGTGTCGCGGTTCTGCTATGAGCATTCGCACGAAAGACCAACTGCGTCGTCGGGATATTTGACCGGAAACTTGGTAGTGTGTGAACTACGATATTGTAGCGATGATCGGATCCTCGAATTTGGCCCAAAGCTTGAATTTCACAAATTTGTTTGAGCTTGGCTACCCGTTGCGTATGGCGCGAGTACGATTCCGGAAGCAGGCTGGACGGAGTAAGAGATGGAAGACCCGTCCCTACCGGAGCTGCTTTCTTGGTGTGGCTGGGCTTTCTGATCTGTGCTAGTCGGAGATCTCGGGTATCCATTGTTGCCGGGAAACTTGTTGTGAATCAGGGCCAAAGTGAATGTGTGGATATCGCGATTCTTGGCCTAAAGCAATAGTGAATGCGATTGTGGTGCAGGAAGATGCTTTACCACGCAATCCTGGGCTACCAACATTCAACAGCGTCACGATGACCATTACTGGGTGCGAAATCACAAATCCAATTGATCGTCACTGACAATTTGTCAGTGGTTTCTGAAATTTATTTCAGGGATCCGAGTGACCGAGTCAATTAGCTGGCCAAACCTGTCGAGGCCCACTCTAGGAATGTGTGTCCGGGTCGGAAAAATATTATTAGTGTTATTTTACTCTGTTGGATGTGTGTTGGAGCGATGAAGCGATAGCTAATTTAAAATAAAGGTAAAGAGCTTTTGTCATTGAGACTAAAGTGACTTTGTTGGTGACACCGTTGGCATGCCATGCTGTTATTTTATTTATTTAAGAAAAAGACAAGATATATATATGTAAATGCTAACAATATCTAGGGGCTAAATGTAGTGAATGCAAGAGAATAAGAGGGTGCTGAGGAATGATCGCCATTGGGAAAAGAGCACTATTGCCACTAACATGATTCCACTGTTTTTTTTTTACTCATGTTAAAATTGATTACGTATCTGTCGCGTACCATTGAGTGAAAGTAAACATGTTTTGAAGCCATCTTTTTTTTGACATGTTTCTCGTACAAATAGCACGCTATATAAGTACTAGTTGTAGTAATACAGAAACAAACAAAGTCGTGTGTTTGCATGAAAAAATCTCAAAACTTAACAAATCTACACCTTCGTTTCGAAGGCTTGGAAATCACCGTGCGCTGCGAAGCAGACGCAACAGATGATTTATTTTTTAAAGTTTTTGCGATC